AGCCTTTTATACTGGTGAGTTTTTTTGATGGAATGAACGATGTCCGAATTTAACTTTATCTCTAACATCGGCCGATACCGATACCATGCTGATGATATTGTGCATCCGTAACTGTTTTATTCAATAATGCACAAAGGAACTCACATCCACGTAGTCAAAGACACAAGAAGTACCGGAGTCTTCCAACCGCATGTCATTGATGGTGAGAGTGACCCTGCGTCCAGGAGTCACCACAATCTCCCAGCGACACACTCGGCTGTGTGGATATAAATTGGGATAATTGGGAGAAGAAATAGTCCCCGAGGGAGCGTTCAACTCTCCTCCACAAGCTGTGGAAAGAAACAAAAATATATCCAAATAAATAAAAGTATCATTTTTACAAAGCAAATTCTGATGGAAACACTTTTATTTCAAAACTACCATCATCTCATCATTTATCGTCATCATCCATCATCTTCAAGTGGCTATCAAACTTTTCAACTCCTCCCCCTTTCTACATCGAGGGCAATAAAATTAATCTTGTACTATAATAAACACTTTAATGTTTCTCTCTGCACCTGACCTGTTTTAGAACGTAATTGATGGTATTTTTTATATTCTCTGTTAATTTTATATCTTGTGTGATTCTTGTGTATGTTCCTTTGTACTGCAAAACTGGCACAAGTTTCCTGCGGGATCAATAAAGTTCTATCTTATCTTATCTTATCTTATCTTATCTTATCTTATGGTGTAGTTACAGTGAACAAGTTGAAACCAAATCAAAGTACGGTCTAGTTAAATCTTATACTGAAGAGTGGAATGCAACACAATGATGGATTCATTTTGTGGAAGAACAAAAGGAATAGCAGCTGAAGTAGCTGTGTTGTTGTTTCTTTGGAAAGCAGCAATTCTTTATACAGTCTTTCTGTTTTTCTTTGTGATTTTTGAGTTTTGTCTCCAGTCCTATATAATTTACCCCTCCTGCTGCCCTTATATCACAATAACCCCAGTTATAAAACTGAATTAAAAATATATAAAAAGTGGAATGATTAATGGATTTAATTGATATAACTTTTTTAATGAATTGACCCAAGGACAGCAGGAGGGTTAGGTACATGGAAAGTACACGGCAGCTAATTACAGTAAAAATAGTTGTACAGGGATGTCCTCCGATAATTTATGCGCCTTAAAAAAGGAATGGGACAGGGTTATCTATTGATCTGATTTTTCACGTTGTGTCCTGAAGGTATTACCAAGATTACAACATCAATGACTAGAGGTTTATCTCACGCTGATGGAGTTTGAAAAGGGCAAGACATTTCCAATAACGTTCTAAAAACGTTTCATGGGATGTCCATTCATCCATTATCTTTTAACTGCTTCTTCCATTTTGGGTCACGGGGGTCGTCGGTGCCCATGTCCAGATGGGTCTCCAGTCCATCAGAGGGACACATAGAGACAAACGAGACAAACAACCTTTCAGTCTCTCACTCACACCTAGAGACAATTTAGAGTTACCAATCAGTCTAACATGCATGTTTTTATACTGGTCTGTGGGAGGAAACTGGAGTACCTGGAGAAAACCCACGCATGCACGGAGAGAACATGCAAACTCCACCCAGAAAGGCCCCTGGACCGGGATTTGAACCAGGGACCTGTTCGCTGAGAGGCAGCAGCTCCACCGGTTGCGCCACCGTGCTGCCTTCATGGGATGTCAATAGGAAATTTTGGAAATATTCCAAATTGGAAGCTTCCCATGTGACTTTATGGGAATTAATGCGATATAGAAACCTTATCATATTCGAACATAAACATTTAGTTTTATTTTGTAGACAGATAAAATTCAAACAGAGTTTGACCCAAAGTTAATAAAAGTTCCAAATGTCAAACTAACTCACACAACCTAAAGCAAATAAATACATTTGATCGTTTTCTCTATTTTTGTTGATGTTGTAATTCTTTTTTTAAAGTTAACGTACGCAACTCAACAAAAATATTCACAATTAGTTAAGGCTTTTCATATTTATGTCGTAATTATGTCAAACAAATAAAAAAGTAATTTGCATATAACAAAAAACTAAAAAGTCTTAAGTTATGGACTGAAAATGTCAAAACTAACTTTAAGGAAAAGTACGTTTTTGATCATTTTGTTTTTCTTTTATCATTTCATGCATAAAACACAGAACATTTTAGAAAATTACATTTAATAAAAAAAATGTTTCCATCTTCAAATCATCCATTTTACATGATTCCATTTTTATCTGTTCCTACGTGTCCAGGTGACAGTTAATCATGTTTTAATGCTGCACTAACTCTCATTCTTGGTACATCAATGAGATCTAGTTGTTATTTTCCCAAGTATGCAAAAACAAATTAATTAAATTTAAAACTCATGTTAAAGGGCAATGGTCAATGAACCTAGAATTTTATTTTCTAGGTTTCTTTGCAATAATTCTTATAAGTATTTATTAATTCTTGTTGAATGTTTCTGTGAAAATTACTGAATGTTGCAACTCTAAATTCTATTGAGGTTTATAAAGTTCTTCTAAGAATAGATACAAATCAGTCTAGAGTCAGATTTAGTCATTAACACAGAGGTAAAATGGCTGCTTTCTGTGTCTAAATATTAAGAATATTTGCTTGATGAATCTATTCGGCGTTCTAATAATAAAATCTGAATTTAAACGTTTCTCAAAAAAGGATTTATTTGGAAAAATAAAATCAAATGGCACCAATGTAGCTACAGACAGAAGAGCAATCATCTAACAATATTCAGCCCTAATATACTTTCATTATCACCGAATAGATATAAACTTGTTTCATTTTAAAACAGTACTTGTTGACAAAACATTTTAATTAATTGTAAAATGTATATTGGTTTGAAATGACCGTACCTTCGACGCTAGCTTCGAACGTCAGCCTGAAGCCAGCTGCATTTACGCTGGTGTCACTCACGAACTTGACGTAAGCAAAACTGTCCGATGTTTCAGCAGAAGCTGGAAGATTATTTCCACAGTGTCGGCCCAGCAGTCTCCCTGTGTAAACGGTGCGATGAAAGGAAACGTCCTAAATGTCTCATTGTCCTCAGCAAACACTTATAGACGTTGACTTCAAGTGGAGTGTGCCTCTTGGCTGCTCACCTGAAGCATTGTACTCCCTGAGCTCCACGTAGTCAGCAGAACATCCTGGAGTGTTCTGCAGGCTAAAGTTCCCAAAGCTGAGGGTCAGGTAATGTCCAGTGGGCCCCTCGAGGTACCACTCACAGCTCGAGCCATCAGGATAGTTAGATGTTGGGAAACCAGGGCTTTGGATCACCCCCATACTACCTATGTAGGTTCCACCACAGGTGGCTGTGAAGGAAAAAATTAGTACAAATGAAAACAGCTATTAACATTTTTCTGTTTAAAAAATGTAACAACTGTCCATATTTATAACATAACTTCCAGAGCAATCAAGCTAATCATTTTAAACTAAAACGTATCTCCATCCAGCCATTATCTTCTGCTTGTTCTGAAGTTAGGTCGCGGGGGCAGCAGCTTGAGCAGGGAGGTCCAGACATCTCTTTCCACAGCACCTCTTCTAGCTCTTCTGGGAGGACACCAAGGTGTTCCCAGGCCAACTAACAGATGTAATCTCTCCAGCATGTCCTGGGTCTTCCCCAGGGTCTCCTCCCAGTTGGATATGCCTGAAGGCACCCAGGAAGCATCTTTACCAGATGCCTGAACCACGTCAACTGGCTTCTTTGGATGTGGAGGAGAAGTGGTTCTACTACTGCTAGGTCCAGCTACCATCCTACTACTACCAGCAATGTGAACCAAACTCTCACACTGCTTATATAGGGACTGAACATCCTGTAGCAATGTGGCCCCAATCCCATACTCACGGTGCACCCCCCATAGTGTACCCCAAGGAACACAGCCGAACGTCTTCTCCAAGTCCACAAAACACATGTAGACTGGATGAGCAAACTCCCATGACCCCTAGAGGACCCTAGTCAGGGTAAAGAGCTGGTCCAGTGTTCCCCGACCAGGATGGAACCTGCATTGTTCCTCCTGGATCTGAGGTTCAACCAACAATCAGACTCGCTTCTCCAGTACCCCTGAATAGACCTTACCAGGGAGGCTAAGGAGAGTGATGCCCCTGTAGTTGGAGCACACCCTCCGGTCCCCCTTTTTGAAGACGGGAACCACCACCACCCCAGTCTGACAATCCAGTGGCACTGTCCCCAATGTCCATGAGATGTTGCAAAGGTGTGTCAACCAAGACAACCCCACAACATCCAGAGCCTTTAGGAAATCAGGGTGAATCTCATCCACCCCAGAACCCCCCTGCCACCTCTGAGCTTTTTAACTACCTCGGTGACCTCAGCCACGGTTATGGACAGAACAACCCCGTATTTCTTTCATTTGAAAAAAACTTTTTTTAAGAGGAGTTGATGTCCCTCTCACTCGTTCTTGGAAAATAAGAATTTTAAATCCATTTAAATCATATCATAGTGTATGTATGTTGTGATTATCCAAAAGTAATTTCAGAAGATGGTCCCAGAGAAGTACAACAGAGAGCATTTAACCCCCTGATTATAATCACCTCCTGTTGCCATTTCCTCAGTTAGGAATGTAGCTATCGGCATGTGATCCCAAAGAAAACTGTTTCATATTAACTCTCAACCTACAAGTTAATTAATTTAATCTCCATCAGTCACTGTTTCTTTGTCAGAGAGCTGAAGAAAAGGAAATGGAAGAGTAATGCAGTGGGAAGACAGGTATACTGTAGATGTTTCTTCTTAACAGAGCCAAGCTGGACAGAGTGTCCGCGACAAGCCAGTGACGGTGCTCAAAGAATTGTAAGGTAGCCCATCAAACACAAAGTATGGTAGAAGAATGCTCTGCTTATGCTTGTGTTGTTTTCACACTGTATTAAAGGAAGTAGTCATTTGGTTTATTCTCATTGAAGTTGTTTCTTTTGCTTTGTTAAAAACAAAAAGCATTCCTTTCTTCTGACTTGGAATAGTGACGGGAACTGAACTTCTTGGTGTGACACTCCGCCCCCCACCGCCATCACTTCGCCCACACATGGTTTATATCAACCTAAGCATTTTAGTTAAACTCTATTTAACTGAACTTAAAACAGATTTGTCTCCTCTTTCAGTCGTAGCGGTATGAGAAAATGCTCCAACAGAGTTAAAACCAGTGCAATGTGCTTGTATTATGCAGGCAATACTCAACATGGATTTATACTTTGATTTGTTTAGACACCATCAGTTCATTAAGGGTTTCACTAACTGAAACAATGTACTCAGTTTATTGCAGCATATGAAGCATTTAATCAGAGCTGAGGAAGGCAGGCAAAGAAAGCCGACCCTTTAACCAGTAAACAACAAATGGTTAACAGAAATGCATGTTTTTTTAAACATTTTATCTTTGTTAAGTATTTTTCAGTTCTGAAAAATGTGGTGTTTTCACCTGATATATCACATTTCTAACATCATACATGGTTTTATATGGTTATCACAAGAAACATTTGAAAGTTGTTTTTGTACTACAGTATTTTAAACAAAACAGAGAAAAGATGTACTCGTTTTTTTAGTTTAAGTCCGTTAGCACTGGGTTCATGTTCAAATATCCATGCCTGAATTCAAAAAGCTAAATTTAAACTGTGAGCAATGACTATTATTGACTTACCTATGGAATATTTGGCCTTAAATCCTTTGTGTGTAACACTGTGGTCGGTACGAAACCTGAGCAGCATTGAAGAACCTTTGGAATGCTGCGTGGACGGCCTGGTGCTCCCACACAGCCGGGAAACCAACTCAGAATTGATTGTTGAGCCATCTCGGATCTCCAAGTAGTCATAGAAACAGCTGAGAAAAAAATGCATACAGTAGAAAATAAAATGATTACCCGAACTATCCTGTGGGACTAACAGAGGCAGTTTAAACATTGTTATTTTAAATGTATTCCAGTGAGCTTATTTTAGAACGCATAGAACATATTTACAGTTTAGTATTTAAATATAAAATATACAAATGTAAAAATAACAAAAGACCAAACCTAAAAATGAGTTTACCTGGTTGTGGGCTCAATGTAGAACTCATCTTCAAAGTCAATTTGGACAGCCTCCCCGTTGGGCACAGTGATCACCCAAACACAGTCGCTGTTGGTGGGATAGTTCTGAGGATAGTTGGGTGAAGTCAAGTAGCCAGGAGGATCATTATCATGTAGCTCAATAAAGCCTCCGCAGGCTGTGGAAAAATCAGAACTGTGTGAAACTGGTTAAAGTAAAAAATAACATTCCCGCTCCTGACTGTAACCGATATATTCAACCACCCATTCGTTCCTCCATCTAATTTTCTTTGCCCACTTCAAGGTCGCGAGGAGCCTAGCTCCAACAGTCACTGTGCGAAAGGTGCAGTGCACGTCGGACAGGTGAGCAGTTCATTACAAGGACTCAGAGATGAGAAGACAGAAGCCATCATGCTCTCACTCAAACCTCATGACAATTTAAGCTCGTTCTCAAATGTTCAGTTTAGGTTATGAACAAGTTCATTTGATTTCTGCGAGTCTTCTCAAGTCCTCCTCATTGTGTTTTACAACAGTGGGGTCCCAATCACAACTTTGACATTCACTGACTTGTTAACAAAGTGATTGTTTTTGGTCTGAAACCAAAGTAACAGAAGAAAATCCACATGTGTACACGGAGAATATAGAAAGTCCACATCATCTGGGTTTCGAACCTGCAACTTCCTGCTGTGAGGTGACAATTTGAACTTCTGTCCTGTCTTGCCACCTAAATATTAACTCTAAAAAGTAACAATTGTAATAAAAAAGAGAGGGAGAGAGAGAACTAGGACGTTTACCCTGACTGTGGGCTTCAAAAGTCAGCTGAAAGCCACTGGCTTCATTACTTTCATCAGACACAAAGTGAACAAAAAGATGGTTGTCAGTAGTCTGAAGGACGGATGGAGGAGTTGCACCACATAAACGCTGCCCCAGAGGTGGAGATGAAACATCAGGTCCATTTCTGAGCTGTGGAAAAAACAGGGAGGATAAAAAATACAGAAAAAAAATATAGATAGACTGAGATCCAAGAGGGAGTTCCTGGGATCTGTTGGAGCCACTCCAAATTCAGAGGGGTCACAGCACCAAGTGCTGCAAAGATCATTGGTAGTACTGACACCATAACCCTCCTCAACATCTCCACATATATACATATACATATATACATATATATATATATACAT